TCTGTGGGGGCGGGGCCTGGATCTCAGTTTGTGGAGCTCTGTGGGGGCGGGGCCTGGATCTCAGTTTGTGGAGCTCTGTGGGGGCGGGGCCCAGCTCGGTTGGACTTTGTGCGTACGACTGCTGCTCCCTTCTCTCCATAAGAGCTCCTCTGGTGGCTCTCCGAACACATGTTCCTCCCCCAGAGCGCACTGCTAATCCCGGCAGATGGGTTGGCAGGCCATGGGAAGCAGACTAAGGATGCCAGTCCGGTTAGGGGATCAGGGCCCGACATCCAGGCCTAAACTGCCATCAGCGCCACCTCCCGAAACTCGAGGTGCTGTGTGGCCTGTAAGCAGTGCTGCTGGAGGCTTGCTGGTCACATGGCCCAGCAGGATGGGCACTGGTTTGCTGGTGAAGCTGCAGACGTGAGAAGACCATACCGGGGGGGGGTTGCATGGTTAACCATCAGACAAGCCACGCAAAGATTGGCTCTTCTGTTTACTGTTCCTCTTCTGCAAGGAATGCTTATTTTTAGCGGCAGAAAGTGCTCCTTTGAACAGCTGTGCCAATGCCCCCCCCCCCCCAACGCCTGCCCCCCACTGAAGCATAAGGAGTCACAGTGGGGTGGGCTGCTCACTCCTTGGCCCACAGCCTTATATACGCAGTCAGACCTGGGGAGTGGGTGAGGGTTCATTTTGTTTTGCTTTCAATGTTTAATCCCCCCTTTGGAATGACCATGTGACTTTCGGGACTCCTTACTCTCGCTCCAGCTCTCTGACACACACACACACACACACACACACACTCCCATTAACAAGTAACCTCAGGGTAAAAATGGAAAGCTGGGCATGATGGGGCATGGGGGGCAGGAAAAGACAATGGGGTAGAGTGCACTGCCCTCCCCAAGTAAGAAGAAAGATGATAAAATATATTTTTTCAATAGTCAGAGTGTGGCTTGGAGGGAACTGGAAAGCGCCATCTTGTTGGGGGGGGGGGGGGGGTCTCTTCTTTCTTCTTGCCAGCTGCACCCATCCATCTACATTAGCTGTCTTTTTAGGGGTCTCTGTGTGCCCTCCCCCCAGTCTGCATTCGCGCCTCCAGTAGATCGGGGGCTGCAGGAGAATCTCGTGATGCCCCCCGTCATACTGCCAGGGATGTTGAAATGAGTTTCCAGAGCTGCTGGTTCTGACCCAGAGCTGCTGGTTCTGACCCAGAGCTGCTGGTTCTGACCCAGAGCATCCCCACCCGCTGGACCTTCGGCTAGTCTGACCTGCATCTTCCTGCGGGGGAAAAACAGCACGTTGTTTCTGAAGGGTGGCAGTTAGAATGCCAGTGTTTCAATGCAGGGATATGAAATGAATGATCAGACTCAACTACTACCTACATCAATACGACTGGTGAGTCAGTTCCAGAACCCAAAACTTGTGCAGTTTTAACCCGAAAACTCAATGTCAAGCCTCAGCTTCCACCCGGGCTTCACTTTGCTTACTTCCTGTTATGATACTGGTCGTCCTTGTCTGTTGAACATACTACATGCACTACCCAATGATCCAAGTGTTACTGAGAAGTGTGTTGTTCCTCTGTAGTCATAAACAGCACATGTTGACCATGGGTAGGGTTACCGTTGGTTAGGGTAACCATGTCCCACCAGCTGTTTGTATCCGTTTGTGTGTGTCTGCTCTATACAGCTGGTTTTTAACCTCCTCCTCCCTCCCACGTCTCCCTGCCAATCCCGCCGGTTTGCTGATGACAGGAAAATCCTGCAAATCTTCCGCTTGTCTTCCGCCACTTTCCGCAGTAAAACGGCAAGCAGGGCCCATGAGAGAGTGTGTATTTTTTGCCGTGTGCATTTTGAAACCCTTTGAAAGCAGGACTGGCACTCTGGGAAAATAACTCCAGCATTTGTTTCGATTTTTATTTCTTTGCGTTATTGGCAAGTGTTGCATGCAGAAACGCCCTCTGAAGCCAAGCCTGGTGCTTGTGGTGTTTGTATTGCGATATGTTTCTCTTTCATAGGTTATTTGCGTAAGTGTTTGGGAAGATTTCATATTTTACATGCATGAAATAAAGTAGCTGGACCAGCAGCATTGGAACCACTCGTTCAGTCATGTACAGACAGGTGGCACCAGTGAGCCTACATAGTGTGATGGGGATCTGCATGGAGCAGTGCAGTCCTGGGGGGTCACTCAGCACTGGGGCATAGCAGACTTACGAGACAGACTAAAGACGCAGACTCGCAACCAGAAGGTTGCTGGGTTGAGGTCCTTGAGGGGCAGGGATACTTAAGTGGAATTGCTTTAACAAATGTCTAGCTGTATTAAATGAGCCGTGTGGATTGTGGGTCGATTTGGATAATCGCTTCGGCTGTGAAACCACAGTAAATTGCAGCCAGGAGCCCGGAGCTGACTGCTGGACCGGGGGGAGATGGAATATGTCCTGGGGAGGCATGGGGGCGCATCAGAGGGACGGACAGCGTCCTCGCAGCCAGACACATCGCCCCTGGCAACGGCTCGGAATGAGGCTACCCAGAAACGGGCCACCGGCGCTTGAATGCCCCCCACTGGCCGCGCACACAGGCTGAGGCAGCATGGCACTCGTTGGTGGGTGGGTGGATGGGGGCGCGGGCATGAGCACGGGTGGAAGCTGCGGCCAGCTGCAAGGCGACGGACCCCGCATAGAAACGTGCGCGTCTGCCAGGACCGAGAGTAATGAAGCGGAGCCGGCAGCTTCGGGTATTTTTAGAAGCTGCTCGCAGCGACAGGGAAGGCGTCCATCCCGCTCAAAGCCAGCACAGGCTCTGACCCGCGGGCCTCCCGTGACGCTCTGTGAGCCTGCAGCCAGCACAGGCTCTGACCCGCGGGCCTCCCGTGACGCTCTGTTTACATGCCTGTTGTTTATTATTAGAAGTGAATCTGCGATGGCAGTGGTGCTGGCCGAGGCCTCAGCCCGAGCCCGGCTGCCCTGCTCTCTGACACCCACCTGGTGCCGCTCTCTGATTGGCTCCCATCCAGCTTTAATGATGATCACAATGTGCTGCTTGTACAAAATTCCTGTGCAGAGATTTGCACATAAATGTCAGTGCTGGCAAGAGGGTGTTAGCTGGGTGTAACATGGACACCCCAGGACCCAGGTTTCCATGTCGAAGCTCCGTGTGTGTGTGTGTGTGTGTGTGTGTGTTAATGAGGCGAACACTAGCTATCTGTGCAGCTGGCTCGCCATTGGCTGTCTGTGCAGCTGGCTCGCCATTGGCTGTCTGTGTAGCTGGCTCACGATTGGCTGTCTGTGTAGCTGGCTCGCGATTGGCTGTCTGTGCAGCTGGCTCGCCATTGGCTGTCTGTGCAGCTGGCTCGCCATTGGCTGTCTGTGCAGCTGGCTCGCCATTGGCTGTCTGTGTAGCTGGCTCGCCATTGGCTGTCTGTGTAGCTGGCTCGCGATTGGCTGTCTGTGTAGCTGGCTCGCCATTGGCTGTCTGTGCAGCTGGCTCGTGATTGGCTGTCTGTGCAGCTGGCTCCCGATTGGCTGTCTGTGGGCAAACATGCAACATGAGCCAGCTGGAATGCTGCCCTCTTTTTTTTTTTTTTTCTTTTTGTATCAGAAATGAATGGCTGGTTCCCTTTCCTGAAAGAAAGGTAGGATGGGATCCTGGTGAACAGTGAGTGTGAGGCCTTTCCTGAACGTGCCAGTTTAAGGGCACACTGGCTTAATGCTGGTGGGGCGTCTTCAGATGAACATGGGGGTTAGGGTGAGAGTGTCGGGGCCACGCTGTTACGCAGTGAAAGATGGCTCTCGGGACAGAGGGCAGAGCAGCCCAAAACGGTGACGCATTTCTCCGTGACAGACACAGTTGGATATTCCTTAAGGTACTTCTGGCTTCTTATTCAGCTCTTGCTGAGGGTTGAACTGGCAGGACTCTGGTTAACAGTCTGCTGTGCTGCCAGCTACTGGTTTCTGTTACAGTTAATGTGAGACCATCTTAAACCATTAGCCAGCACTCAGTAGCATCACAAGTGACGTATTTCCTCTTATTCGCTTATAAAAGCATTTGTAATCAATGCAATTGTGAAGTCTCTTGCTGTTGTCATAACAACAGGATTTCATTCTAAATAAAGTTTAGTTCTTTTCCTGGTGGATCACAGTCTTATAGTGTATCCATGTCGCAAAGCAGACGGGCGGAGCTGAGGCTCGGGTTCATGGGGGACGGCAGGCTCGCGGCATGCTGTAAGCTGTGGGGAGTGTTCCATGACAATCCCCGCAGACCCGCCGCTTCCGTCGCCATGTTTGTAGCCCCCAGTGCACGCTGAGCCATTCGTCATAGAATCAGTGCGAACTCGCCTTAAATGGTCCAGGTGCCCGTAGAGTCCGTCCCAAGTAGGAGGGACTCCCCGTGTGCGGGTGACCCGGTCTGACTGTCACTGCAGGGTTCCTGCGCTGTGATTCTCACAAGGCTTCAGGGTGTCCAGGTAGCTCAGGCGCTGCCTTCCGGGGTCATGGCAGAAACGGGGTGGGGAGGGGGCGAGATCCAGCCCTTTCACTTTCAAAGAGTAATAATGTGAATGAGCCCCCCCCCGTACTCCCGCCCTCCGTCTCTCTGTTGTCAGCGGAGCACTTCCCCACGCGCGTGATCAAACCTCAGAACCGCGGTCGCCTGTCTCACCTTCCTTTAGTGTGTGTAACACTCCTGCCCGGCTGGCTAGCGGTCATCTCGGGGGCGGCCATGTCGCGTGCCAGCGAAGGCCGGAGAGAACTGCCCACACTGCCACTCACTGCCATGTATCATGATTGGGGGGGGTACAGAGTGCAGATGAAGGGTACTGCGAGCCCCCCCCGCCCCCCAGAGAATTTACAGGGCAGTGTGTTCAGGAGCGATGCCAGTTGGTCCCATGCTGACATTGCGGATGTGAGTGGACAGGAAACTCACACTGCCACCAAATAAAACCACCACCATTGCCGCTTAAGGCAGTTTCATAAATCTCTTCATGCTTTGGTTTCCAAGGCAGATGGGGGGTGTGATGATGATGGTGATGGCGATGATGTCATGAAGCCGATGATGTCATGAAGCCGATGATGTCATGAAGCCGGCTTTCTTCACGGCTGAGGTTGCCCTGACTTTGACTGCTCTGATTCTGCTGGAACTCTGATTAGCTCCCCTCCTGGTCTCGTCTACAGCTCTAGCGTCTTACGAGGTCAGCAGTAAGGAACGTTACACACCCGGGGTGTTAAACTGTGTATCTGGCTTTAAAAGAACAGTTCCCTCAGCCTAACTGGTCCAATTAGCACTTAATTGCCTTGACTATTCATAGCAGTGAATTTGAAGAAAAAACAACGGAATTGAAATATGGTATTTCCTGAAGCCCAAAATGGCTTTACTTCTAAAATGTACCTTATCAAATGCCAAAAGTATCAGAATAATGGAGCCAATTATGGAAAGAGGAGAGAACAAAAAAGGTACAGAGCCACGTTTGGCAGGGCTGATGGGGCCCCAGGGCCCCCGGGGCCCCCAGGGCTCACAGGGCTCACCTTCACTCCACACTCAGCTGGACTAATATTCATAAAATATGCTTCAGAGAGAAAAGCCAGTTCCTGCTGAAAACTTTTCTGTTTTTTTTTTTTTTGGGGGGGGGGGGGCTAGGTTATGGATGGAGTATCGGGGTTAATTACACTTCTGCTTGACTTCCTTGTAATTCCATCAGGTGGCTGTCATTTTTCTCCTCCCAAACCTAAATCGGTGACACTTTACTTGAGGGGACACAAGTAACTTAGTAACTCAGTTACTGCTCAAGTACAAATCAACAAAAACAGTAACTGCATGAAATGCATGAACTGTCATGACTGATCAGTGATGAACGAACATGAGATCAGACTGTAACACTTAATCTCTGGATAATGAATACATTACAAAAGTGTGCTACTACATTATTTGTGACCCCTTAAATACTGTGTTTCTCCAAACGCTTCCCCACCTGGCTTGTAAACTGTACAACATGAAACGGGAAATGAAAAAAATACCAGTCATCATCCTTCATCAGCTGTTAAGATTCAAAATGGAGTCATATATTAGGCAAGGTCATGAAATGCATTTTGAGCAAAGTTCATAGATGCAACGCGGAACTTTGTCCACTTTAAGCTCTTAGGCTGCTATAAGCTTACAATGAAAGACGTACTGAAAATAATCACCCTTGTTTGTTTAGTATTGTTGTCTGGATTCACTTGTCGTCCTGTTGTCTAGCCGTCTTGTTGCCTATGTTCACTGTCTGCAGGAGCACATGCAAGCAAGCATTTCATTGTACACGGTACTCCTACTTGTACACATGACAATAAAAGAATTGAATTGATAAGAGCCACCCTGTCTGAACATTGAAAAGGACTGGATGTCCTTGAAAGGACACGGCGTTGTGTAGGTCGTTGCTCTTTAATGTCGCGTGTACATAAAATAGGTTGTACTTGCGTGTTTTACTATAGTAATATTTTACCGTAAAATTCAGTTGTATGCGGGGAGCACTTTCAAAACGGCCAATGGACAATTTCTTACTGACAGTTAAAGGTTTTAACTGGCTAGCGGGATATAAAAAAAAAACTTTTTATATTTCTTGAGATTCACGTAACATTTAAAACGAAAGATCGTTTTTTGTGTAAATTGCTGTAGGTACAATGTAGAAAATGTAAAACTAATTTTAGAATTTTACATATCATTCATTGAGCGTTATATACACCTACTGCCTGCTCCAGTTCATTTAATAAACTAATTACAAAACTCAAAAAGCACTGTATTCATCTTTGCACATATCAGTGGCCCGGTGCTCTAAGATGGCAAACCAGATAATCCCCCGAAGTATGAATTTGTCATCTGAGTAGGTTGGGTTAAGTGCTTGTATAAAGGCAGTCTGAAAACTAACCAAAATGAATTGTTGTATGTGTTTTCCTTTGCTATACTGCCCTAAAACAGCCATCCATCTTCCCGCCGCTTATCCTGGAGGGTCGCTCTGGTAGTCAATTATAAACTAATTAAAATCAAGTAGTCAAGCATTTAAACGCGATTTGAGTAACTGAAATGGTTCTTTAAATTGCGTAGTACACTTTACTGAAAAAACACCAGATTAAAATGTGCGATTTTCCCCGGCATGTGATGTAAAGAACCTAAAATACATAGTTATTTTTCCCTCTAGGCATAAATAGTTTTACAGAACAGTCGTTACTGATTCTGGAATTATTGTGAGGATTTATTAACATCTTGCATTTCTAACTCGACGGGATTTACATGAATATTTTTGCAAGTGAAACTGACTTTTAGCACGTCTGTTTTGTGCGCATACAGAAAAGCAAATTATTTTCTGCTCTCGGCTACGGAATACAGACGAGCCGAGGTATGGAGTCGTTTGCAGGCGTTGAAATTTTGAAAGAAATAATAAAAAAAAAACAGATATGTAATAACTACGACATTAATTACAGGACCAAAACGAATAAATTGTCTGCCCGATACATAATCATGAAAATTTGAGCGTAATTTTGTTAAAGTAATCGTTTGTCATGATTAAATGTGTAAAACCCAGCAACCGGATTTTCGTGCAATTCCGCTAACAGGAAACATGCGTCTTTCAAGTATCGCCGTTTTAATGTTATAGACGTGTTTTTTTAAATGCTGATTTTATGGGTGCAGGAGCGTGGATGATGGAAACCTGGAAAAAATACTGATTCTTATTCACCTGTGATTTCACCTCATGCATAAATACGCACGATATCCTTTTATATTAAATATCTTTATGCGTTGTTTTGCGAGGGCGAATGGTTGTAATGTAAAATATGAGGAGGTGGAGAGCATCCTCTGGTTTATAGGTACGATAGTCCTAAAATATGGAGGGAGGGGGTATTTAATCGCCATGGTTACAGTCCCCGTCCACCCTCCTCCCAGTTCGCTGCTCCACCGAGGGCTTGTTTACCACATTTCTACTCCAGGCTCCATAACATGTCCGTCGTGCAGATCCTCCCCTTCCCGCTTGCCATTGGTACGAAAGAACCTCCACCCACCTTGGTCGCACTTCATGTATCCCAGAGCGGCCCGTCCGTTCCCGATCACGGTGAAACGCCGCGAGTATCCGCGCACGGTTCTGTTCGCGGCATAACCATAAATAAGGAGGTATTAAGCACCTACGTCAGCCGCGGTTCAAAGTCTCTTTTAAAAACAGGGACGCCCATCGCTATGCTATTTAGTTATTTAAAAAAAAGCACAATTTAATGGATCCCCGTTTTCTAATTGTATTCTGGTGCGCTGTAATTTTAACGTGGCTGGAGGCAGCCCCTGAAATGGCCGGCCGGTCACATTGTTTTTCATAGTAAACATGGTGTAAAAGTAGACGGGCTGATTTAATTTTTTTTATTGAAGAAGCTTTAAAAAACATCATGTTTCTGCCAGGGAAAATGTGTCGGAATGTCTGGTCTTGGGCAAAATGAGCCGTGTTCGGAAGCGGTATGCAGCACGGCTCCGTGCGGCATTTGGCGCTTCTGTCGCCGCTCTCCCACCTGGAGCTGCGACGTGGATCGGCTCCCCCTCCCCCGTTACAATGCGCTCTTATTTATCTGAGACTCCCCGTACGTGAGATTCAGTCAGGAGGCGCCCCGCAAGTTACGGGCGGGAGTCGCGTCGTACTGGATCGGCGTTGCAGCCGGCTTTTTTACGCAACTTGCCCCCTAGTGATGGATCCTCGTTATTTTCACATGCTGCAGTGTGATCTCACACCTCAGTAAATATCAGTAGGGTATGATCCTCCTTTAATTAAACACATAAATACTTAAACCATAAATTTAAAATTAATGGCGCCGTTGTAATTTCTATAAACTGAATTTGAGGAAAAAAAACATTTCCGTGCTGTTATTTCTGGATGTCTAGTTATGTAGAAACACGGCTCCACTGGCTAAAAATGCTGCCGGGTTCTAAGATACAAGATGAGTATTAATTTGAAAAATTGAAATTGAGAAATGGAAAAAGTTTTTTTTCCCGCGGAAAGATGTTTACGAATTTGGACTTTGTTAGGAGAAAGTGACAAACCAAAAATCTTCATTTGAAATGATCTTTTAAAAAAGTAGCCTTTAGCTAATGTTATGAAAAGCTGAATTTTGTCATTTCTACTCATTAATTGTAATTTTTGCTTCATGTACAGGCGTAAATAAAGTATTTTCTAACTATTTGGATGAAATCGTACCTGTGTAATGTGCCCTGCGACCCTGGCCAGGATGAGCAGTTGGGGGTACGGAGGACTGGATAGATGGGTGTGTTTATACTCAAAGTACTTGGCAGTGCTCACTGGAATAGCGTGCAGTGTATATGGCTGCCTCACATCTGTGACCGGTTTCAGGATAGGAAGTGTGTCACATGACCAAATCCAGTGTCATGTGATGAGCTAGGGGGCCGGAGCCTTAATCACACTCTCCCTGGTATGGGCACGCCGGGACCAGGTAGGCTGCCATCGGGTGATGCACTCCCCTGATGCTGCAAGAGCTGTGCATTCTCAGTAACGCGGCACCTGGCAGCAGCCTGTCGCTCTGCCGGTTGGGGGTTCAAATCCCTCGGTCAGCAGGATAATTTTACCATGCATGGGGCCCGTGAGCAAGACCATTGACCTGAATTGCTGCAGGGACAGCATGACGCTGCTTTCTCAGAATGGAAGTGCCTGCTATATAAATGCACGTCATGTAAATGTAGCTGTAGAGAGCAGATAGGCTGCTGTACGTCCGGCACCCATGTGGCCAGGACGTTTGCATCCCTGCTGTGTTCCGGGGGGGGGGTTTGATACACAGGCGCTGCCTGTGGCCCTTTCATCAGACTGAATATCAAATCCTAAAATCTGATGGAGTCAGAAATATGCAAGGATCCTGTTTATTACCACTTATTT